GAGTCGTCGCCAATTTGCCAGATTACTGGCGCGGCCGCCTGATGCAACTGGCAGCCGGGACTGCAGGCGTAAACAGATACAATGGCCGAAAGATATCCGCACGGCCGCTCAGAATGCATACAGCTGAGCAATGCAAGTCCGTTTTGAAGAACGATTGCTGTGATAAATTAGAAATATTCACCGTTTGTTTCCAGGAAGAGACTGTTTGAAGATATCTGAAACAAATGACTCGGTCCGAATTTGCTGGAAGAAAATGACAACGTCATGAGAAGTTATTGGGCCTTTGCATTAAGTAGACACTCTAATTTACACAGCAATCGAATTTTTATTTAAGTAATATAAGTGTGTTTTGTGGAATGAAGGAAGTCGCTCAGAGCGAATTGGATGAAAGTTCGCTGGTTGAGTATTGATTATCCAGCGATATAGTTTCGGAACCAGTATTTAAAGTAAAAAGTATGCTTTATCGTTTAACATAAGAACAAAATAGCTGCATTTCATCCTACCTTATAAAACATTTTGTGAGAAAAGAAGGATGAGATGAATTTCTAGTAAATACATTTTCCTCATCGTAAAACGTTAAAAACGCCTCACACCGCTATTTAAATATTTGACTTTTGATTTGCGTGTATGGAAGAGCTTGATTGCTCGTCTAGTGCCCTTAGTCACAATTTTTATCACGATCGTCTACAGATTGAATCGGACGATCAACAATCCCGCAAAACACGCGAACACTGTGAGCACAGTTTCCCAGCCTGTGTTTGTGTGTGGACGCATCAGTCTCGCCTCGATCACGCCCGTCGGCGCGTCGTTGCCGTCACTGACGCCCGTTCGACGTTATCAATGGCGCGGTATCTGTCGATTGTGTCTCGGACGGGGTCAGACTGGCGGTCTAGCTCCGACTGACTCATCGTTCCACTAGGTCCGCACTGACCCCGGGGATAGAGGGAATCGTTGAACTCGGCAGAGCTGGTGGCGTCATACAGAGATTATGTTATGATAGTTTGTGATGGGGGCCCTAGCGTGTATTATTTGGGTTATCGTTGCATTGGTATGTGCGGTCAATGTCTGGCAGAATAATTGCAAGTCTTCAGAAAGTATATTCCTTTCGCAAACTTGGGCCTATCCCAAGCTATTCCTCACTAACCCACGACTCTATGTGTCCAGACCACGCCTCTGGTGCACACCCAGTCGGCCGCCGCGCCGTCCGCCGCGCCGGGTCAGGTCAGTGACCCGGCGACCCGGCGGCAGCGGCCCGCCCTCTCCGGCCGCCGGGTGCAGGCCGTGGCCCGCCGGCTGGCCCGGGCCGAGACAAACCCAATCGATCCTGTCGCCGCCGCCGCCGCCGCCGCCGCCGCCGCCGCCGCTAGTGCTACAGTCCTCTCGCTCCATAGTGTTTGTCAACATTGCCGATAGCCTTACATGACGTCATGTGTGACGTCATAGGCGTGTGGTGACGTCATAGGCTAGCAATGACGTCACCGGATGTCGGAAGAAGATGATAGAGGATGTGGGTAAATGATCAGCCAGGCGCCATCAAATAACCGGCGATACTCAATCGGCGGGCAAATAGCGGGCTGTATCAACACGCTGTTTTTCGAGGAAATGACAAGCGTTAATAGAAAAAGAAGTGTTTGCTCCGATTGCATTTGTCCCTCAGTGTGGCTATCCAGTGCTCTAGAAGTTATATATCTGTTACAGGCAAAGTGAAAACTCGGGCATTTTGCAAAATGTCTAGGCAATTTGCAAAATGCCTGACCGGCTGGGCATTTTGCAAAATGCCCAGGCAATTTGCAAAATGCCTGACCGGCCAGGCATTTTGCAAAATGCCTAGGCAGTTTGCAAACTGCCTGGCCCACCAGGCATTTTGCAAACTGCCTGAAATTATTTTCTCAGGCAGTTTGCAAAATGCCTGACATCGAACTCACACCAGCGACGATGCGTAAGCATTATTGTAAGCGCCGCTTACAGGGGTTAATCACAAGCGATACGCACCAAGTGGGAGGACACACAGTGAGACATTCTCCGGGTAGCGCTGCCGAGTTCAGGGTCACTGAGCCCCAGGCAGCGGCCCGACTACCGCGCCGGCTGCCGGGCGCCCGGCGCGGTTTTATCGGTAAACACGCGTTAACCCTATTCCTGGCGGGCTCCGCCGGGACAAGAAACTGGCGGGGGGGGGGGGGCGATTCCCCCCCTGAGATCTCGAGAACGAAGCAAGATAGCGACAAACGGTAAACGGCATCGGATACGCACGGTCAAGATCTACAATTTTTACTAAAGTCATTTTCAGGTCAGGTCAAAGATGACGTCACAGGGGTCGAAAAAGTCAAAATGGCGGCGCTAGATATGGAGAGAGTTTTTCCCGAATAACTTTCGAATTAGTCAAGATAGGAACAAACTAAGGGCATCATCGTGATTCTCTCGTCAATCCGCATCGAATGATATATATGTTGACCTCGCAAGGTCAAGGTCAAAGGTTGACCTCAGGTCACGTGACCTCGAGGTCATCATGTATATCATTCGATGCGTCTTGACGAGCTGAACACAATGAGACCATCCACGCGTCTGTATCTTGTTCCTGTACGGAGTTATTGGCCAAAAACCTTTGGTGACCTTTGATGACGTCACATGACCTCACAGCTGCCCAACAGCAAAACAGACCTCAAGGTAGTAAAGGTTGATCGTATATGAAGTCATGTATGGTATATGGGGCCATTCCGACCCGTTTTAGTGGTAAAAACAGGGAGTTGATTTTCCCCCATTGACTTATAATGGGGAGGTCGCGAAACTGACCTGACCTTAGGTCACCGATATCAAAATTCCGAGATATACAAATTGCACATACTGGTACCCTAACTAAAGCCTGAAGAGAAGAAATTGATCGGTCAAAAACTCTAGCTCTGGCGTGATTGCAAACTTTTCTGAGGTAGGGTCACCAAACCGCCTCTGGTGACCTGACCTGAGGTCAGATCAACTCAAAATTTTCAGACATGTTGCGTTGAAGCCTTTTAGGAAAAGTCAGAAAATTTGAGCTTCCTAGCTCAACGCGTTTGGGAGAAATAACCAAAAAACCTCAGGGGGGGCTCCTGAGGCCCCCCCCCCCGCCAGGAATAGGGTTAAACATGGTAATGTTTCTAAGAGCCTTGCTGACTCTGGAAATACTTTGGGTAGATCTGATCAGAAAAGAATGTTCTTTCGATGTATGGTAGTTTGATTGGCGGGCCACACGCCTACATTATCAATGCATTGTGACTGTGTAAAGATGAACATGTCCGTTGAATGTAAAACTTGTTATTTCTAAGCGTCTTTTTATTAGAAAGGTGTGCACGTGGGTCGTGGATGACCAAAAACCTGCTTTTCTGGAAAAGCCACACATGTTCTTTTAGTCTATGGAATGTATCTCATCGCATTCCAATGCATTGTTTATAAATGCTGTTTTTCCTGAAATGTACCAAAAATGGCTGATTTCTCAAGATATAGACTATTTCTTTCCACGTGACACGTGTTAACAAAAATGCTTATTGGATACGATGTCTCTGTTCTATCGATCGAGCTGGCAAGTGGCAACCCCGTGTCACTGCGGCCCTCTGTTGCCGTGATGTAAGTAAGCACGGGAAGCGAAGAATGTCGGGTCAATATTCGGCCGGTCGCCGCGTTTTTCCGCGCCCATGTTTTTTTTTTTCTGTGCCCTGCTCCGCGCCCCATCACAGCATTCGTACACACGCACGGCTACAACTCCGTATACGAAAAGTATAGGGAGACGTTGGCTCAATCTACACAGTCCATTCAGTAGTGGCTCCATCTCGACGGAAGTGGCCGAAGACGTGGATATATTCGTAAATATTGAATGTGCTTGGGGCTCAGGCACATGGGAACGACGTGGTCAACGCCTGTGGTAAACAAAAACGGTAAAATAAATCAATCACAACTCAGGCATTTTGCAAAATGCCTGACCCGCCAGGCATTTTGTAAACTGCCTAGGCAGTTTGCAAAATGCCTGGTGGGTCAGGCAGTTTGCAAATTGCCTAGGCATTTCGCAAAATGCCTGGCCGGTCAGGCATTTTGCAAATTGCCTGGGCATTTTGCAAAATGCCTAGCCGGTCAGGCATTTTGCAAATTGCCTAGGCATTTTGCAAAATGCCCGAGTTTTCACTTTGCCTGTAACATATCCCTTCTATGGATCTATCAGCATGTCTTTTTTGCTACAATTCAGCCTCCGGTGAACGCTGAAGGAATATGGTCAGGATGAGTGATTAGTTAGCATGCTTCTCACTAGATGGCACTAGTGATATACGCCTGAGAGTATGCTGTGCCGCACGGCACGAGCCAGCCGTGGGCGGCACTGCCGGTCCGCGCCACAGTGCAGTGGGGCTAAAGAGGTGGAATTGCGTGCTATATTTTCACATATAGACCAAATCCATCAATAATGGCATCAACACCAGACGAAGAGCGCCTCTCCCTCTCGGAGGGCGGTGTGGCCAGCTCGGCGCGCGACATCGGTACACGGCCCTGACGGCCGGTGGCCGGCTGTCGGGGCGGCGGTGGGCTGGACATCCGGACCGTGATCCCGGCGCCCATTGTGGCTCCAGTTCACAGTCAAGTGACCACGGTGCCGGCGCTGTCGAGCAGTATATAGTTAGCAGCACTAAGCCGCGCCGCCGTCTCGCCGGAAACCGCACCGCGGTGGAGATAGATCGCCGGTCTTAGCGGTCCGCATGGTGTCTGGCCGAGCAGCCACTCGCCGACGGTCGACATACGGCCCGACATATCCCCTGTCTGGATAGGGTCACTCTGTTCGCAGAACTGGCTCGGCATTGTTGATGGCTTGATGAGAGATAGTCGTGGCTTTATTTGTTGTATGCCTTGATACCGGCTTAGCCAAAGCACACCAGAGAAAAGGAAGATTACTGCGCCATCTACTCGGTGTTTCTTCATCTGTGATCAGTAACAACTTTGTGCGGCCCATGTCTGACGCAACGCCCGTTTTTTTTTTTGCGTTTCAGTGAGCGGTATGCCGACCAACGACAGGACATGTCGATTTGGTAACACCACTTACCAAACGGGAGACACCTGGTACCCACGGGTCTCGGATAACGGAAGCAATGAACGCACCTGCCTAGTCTGCAAATGTCACCAGGTGAGGACGCAAAAATACCCTCTACGTCGATAGGATTAGGCAGTACTCAACGGCGGTTCGAGTGGAAATGTTGTTATCCTGCCACGTTGTATAAAATGTCCAACATGCAGTCAACTACACTCATAGGCCTATTCTTACCGATATAATACACGGAAACAATACAATTGAGATTGAAACAATAAAAAGTTTTAACTTCAGAGAGGAGGTAAATATGACCTTTCTGGTCTTTCTCGTTTTCCTGGCCTCCACTGCAGAGTGACCACTGAACTGTGATCTTTGCTTGTTCACCGTCTTTACATATACATAGTCTCTGCCGTTAGTTAATTGCTCCCCACGGCTGTTCAGTGGTCTGCGGACTCTGTTTAGTAGTCTGCTGCGTCGCTGTTCAGTTGGCTACAGCACCCCGCACGGACACCCATGCTCTGGCCATTTCCGGTGAAGTGGAGTCGCCACCCCCGCGTCCACGCGCCGCTACTGTCAAATTAGGCTGCGGCTAACTCGATTTGGACGACATCTGTCGCGGACCAGCGTTTCGGAGAGTCGGGTCTCTCGGGTCAGCTCGCTAGGGAGAGGCTGGACACTCCATGAATGGCTCTACAGGCCATTGATTCCAACATGAAAGCTGAGAGAGCCTGTGATGGTATGCTATCTGAAAAATTTTGGGACGATCTCGCTCTCTCTCCGGAGCAGAGTGAGAGTGTAATAGGCATTAGCGCGCTGACCATACTCAATAGTTGTCTGCGGCTAATAGAGCTATACACAACGCAGCAGGCCACGCGACGCTGACAGTTGCCAGATGCAGAACTGTGCTTAATTGTGGCCAGACAGTGAGACCGAATTATGAACTTTTCAGTATGTATTAGCTGCTCTTACGAGGGAATATTATGTTGTGATTACGGCATTATTCTATGAAGTAGGTAATAAACAGGAAGCCAAAAGTTCATTTCTCTTTGCTCAGTGTCTGACTAAGTAGAACTTGTGCGTACGGATGGACCACGGAAGTCTGTCGGAAAACTTGTCAACTGCCCTCCCTCTGCCCTCCCCTTCTCGGCCCAACTAGGTCCCCCGATGCATGACATTGCCAAATTGTCAGAGCTGTAAACTTTGGCCGATCTGGCATGTGATAATGTAACAGATACCATAAAACAAATGTTATAATAACATAACGCAGAAGGCCGGAGCGGGAAGTGGAAAGTAAAACTTTACTGGCGGAACGAAATTTACTTTTTCATGGTCGTGGTTTTACGATTGGAGACGGAAGGCGGGGTTCGTCACTGTGGCTGCCTGTGTGCGACTCCTACATAACATTGAAAGTTGGGGCCGGAGCACGGCCGGGTGGGATCGCATCATAACCAGGCCGACGCGACGGTCCGACCGCCTGGCCGGTCGGCGGCCCGAGCTGCTCGGAGCGGCTGCCAGCGAGGCGCTCGTCGCTCGGCGCTCGGTCAGTGGCGCTGCCCCGTTCCTTCCGCCATCCCGACGGCCACGCAGACGACACACTCTGTGGCAATACATGCGCGTCAGCGAGGAAAACTGACGGCAGACTGTGATATGACATTATTTAATCGTACAAAGTGCGTCCTTTTTAATCGAGCAGTTTCAAAGCAAAAACTGCTTCGGACAAAAACGATAATTTGTGCTCAGTTCCCTTTAACGTTTTTTTTTTAGGGGAGAGAGAAAACAATTTTAACTGCACCAGCACTGACTGGTCTCTCGTGTTTCAGGGTAACAGTTTCAACTGCACCAACACTGACTGCGCCTCGGCATGTCGGGGATCGTCCCGGGAAGACCTGGAGTGCTGTAACATCTGTAGCGGTGAGTTGATCGCCCGGTCATGGAGTATCGCGCCTGTTGACCAGGGCTGAGGAACGTTTACCGATGGTTCAGTAGTGGTAAACAGGTCGCTTTAAGAATTCTGCAGCCTAGTCGCTGTTGGAGGAATGTTCTTGAAAGTAGTCTTCTCTTTACCCGCAAGAGCTGCCAACTATTGCAAAATCATGGCACAGTTGTACACTGGGGTGTCTAGACTGTACTCGAAGCAGCTATCGGCATTTACCAGGCGGTTGGTATGCATGGCTATTGACCCACGGCTTTTGAACTCCCAAAGATATACGACAAATAGCGCTCCGAGCTCTTGTCGGTCCGGGCGAAGCAGACGCTGGCGCCGGCTAGGTTAACCTGTCATGTCAGTACTGGAGTGGGGCCAAACCGACCTTTGATCTTTGGGCTGTTGTTGTTTTTGTTATTGTAGAGGCGATGTCAGCACGGAACAGTCATATGCTCTCGGGAACGATTGGCCGCCAGGCTGGCCAGACGGTCTAGACGTCTGACCAGAGCGACCTCGTAAATAAATAAACTAGCCAGCTGGCAGCCACTAAGCTATTCCGTGCAAGCAGCCTTGACCCTGCGCCCATAGGATACAGCATCGCTTTTAGGATTCCATTCCTAATTAACAAAATTTTACTTACCTGACTTAGCTTAAACAAAAATTACTACAACATGACTTTAACACGCTGTTTCCAAGTGACGCTCTCATCTCTGACCTAATAACCCTGACCCGGTAGTGGCAGACGTGAGATGGCCAGAGGCTCGTCTCATCTTTAACCCATGTCTCGACCCGGCAGAGGCGGACGTGGGCGGTCCGCCGTTCCGGACCCAGGCACGGGACGTGCGCGTTAGCTCAGCCTCATCCACTCCGTGCATCAGAAACGGCCACCGCTACCGACAGGGAGAGAAGTTCACCTCCAACGACACCGGCCTCGAGCCCACCAAGACCTCGCAGTGCGTCCAGTGCATCTGTGAGGTGAGTGCTGGAGAAATGGTGTGTATCGCCACGGATAAATGGTATATTACAACGGTACAGCCTCCAGGTCAGTCATGCTGAGATTGCCGATCCCATTGAAAAAAGATTTAACCAAGAGATATTAAACAAAGCGTCCGAAATCATCATCTTTCTACATACATTTGCCTCGTGTCTAAGTACAAAAAAAAAATTCCCTTCAATGATGTCAGCAACGCGTTTTGCGTAGTTTCTTAAGTTCTCCACAATACACGGTAGAATTCCACAAAGTCTGAATCAGATTGCGCCTCGTTCTGTTCCGGTTGCCATTGTTTTGTCTGCGGTGCGCCGCTAAGTGTCTCCGCTCGGCTGCTCACGTCCGGAGCGCTCGTTAACCCGGTGACGTCACCGCCAGCCGTTACCGAATCGAGTGGCCGGCCCACAGGAAGGAAGTATGGTTATCTAACGAAGCGTTTAACTGGCCCCGAGCTCGGCTGGTGGCCAGTCCGCGGGACCTCATGGGGGCCCGTGACGTCACCGGGTCGGGGCGCGGTCATAACAACGACGCCACACGTCGGCTGATGAAGCCGTCGGCACAGCCACGCGGGAACGGTCTCATGACGCGCTGCCAGCTGGGAGAGCTGCCAAAGCGGCAAAAACGCCGCCTTCCGGCCAGCGGGCCACTCGGAGTCGTTGTGCCAAGATGTCACGTGTACGCTCTAATGGACGAGAGCGCAGGTTACCGGTGCTGGTCCCCTTGTATATCGCTGAGAAACTGTTTCTGTCGCTTCAGTCTGACAGCACGGTGCGCTGTGCGTTGGAGGAGTGTCCGCGCGCCTACTGCGACAAACCGATCGAGAAGCCCGGTCACTGCTGCCCCGTCTGTCCCGGTGAGTACACACAGCCCGTCCTTACTGTCCTATCCAGGGTCCGGGCCAGCACTGTCCCGTCTTGAATCTACCCACGGTCCGCCCTCCCTAGTCCCTACTCTTGTACCAGTCACTACTGTCCCGTCTGTTTCGGATGAGTAGCTACTTCTGGTTCTGTCCCTCCGCTCTATTCCGGTCATTTCTGTCATGTGGCCTGTCCCGTCCTGTCCTGTCGACCTACGGCCCGCTCTCCCTGCTTTGTTACGACCAATGTTGTCTTGTCTGCCCGTATAAGTATCCATGGCCCTTACTCCCCGCTTTTCTTTTTTCGTTGACTGAAAACCCGCAGCCACTGATACGCTGTGAGTGGATACTAAATTCAGAGAAATATCCATGCTTGATACGACTCGCAAGACTCAGATTCTGTGCGTCGTATCGCCATTTTATTTGACGTTTCGCCTTGAAGTGTATTATTCAGCCTGTAAGGGTAGTTTGAGCGCATTACCCGATCCTCATATCCAAACGGAAAAGATCAAATTCTGGAACAGTTGTTTCCCTCGGTTTCGCCGATAAAACTCATCACGTTATTGTTTCAATACAACGCATTTTTGTATGCTCGATCATATTCAATCAAAGTATTTAACAACCAGAACCTATTTATTAAGGATCGCGATGTTATCGCGGTCGGCTCGCCGCGCGGATTAGGATGGGCCAGCGGAGACACGTCAGGACGCGCTGCCCGCTTCACTGGACTGCCGTCCGTCGTTACATAAGGGGCTATAGACGGTGGCGAGCGGGGTGCTGTGGCCGCCGACCGGCCCCGGTCCGACCGCCGCCTGTCTGGGCCGCGTCATTTACGTCCGAGCCGTTCTTAGCGCTGACAAAGTGGGCGAGTGAGCGACTTCATCGGTCGGAGAGAGCTCGGTACCGATACCAATCCGGTCCCGACGCGACTGATTGCCCCCGCTCCGCCCTCCCGGAGCTGCGGCCGCTGAGATCACCGGCGTGCCGTATGCACGGTGCGGGCGTCCAAACCTTTGGCTAGACTGTGCGCTGAAATCCAGCCTCAGGCTTTCAGCTGTTTTTCATGATGTCTCGTTGGTCGTGAATTATACTTTTACGCCCTATCTTTCCGTGCTCTGAACATTTTGTATTGATTAAAATGCTCTCATGCTTACTTGCTTTCTTTCATTCCTTACTCTTCTCTCCCTCTCCCTCTCCCTCTCCCTCTCCCCCTCTCTCTCTCTCTCTTCCCTCTCCCTCCTCTCTCATAACCCTCTCTTTCTTTCCCCTTCACTCTCCCCTATGTGGCTGGTCGGGTCTGTCTGTCTGTTTATCTGTCTGCCGCTCACTATCTGAGCATTAATAAAGCGACCCGATGACGTCACATATGGCCGGCGAGCAGTTCAGTAAATTCTGCTTTTATTCTTCGCCCACATTCCCGTCCACAATAACTGCATCCTAAACATTGCCATCATGGAATAAGCGGCACTTGTGAGACTTGGGCTTCATTCCGGCACATATTCAGTGTCTTTATGACGCCGAACAGTTGACGATAACTGAGAGTGGGCCTCTCTAGACACGTCGTCGGGCACATTACGTGGACGTGATTTGCACTCGGGGGCACGGCCCGCGGCTTAAAGTACAGGACTCTACGGTGAATGTGACCCAGAGTGACACGAGAACTTTATTTCAGGCAGCTTTGCCCGATAAAATGAGCCACTTGCTTCCTTCGTGGCTTGTCTACAACACTGTGTCGTCTCTTGCCAGTGGGAAAAGTAGCAAATAAGGTTTGATGAAATTAGCGTAGCCCATGAGCAGGACAGGTTAAAGCAACAAGTGAGACGGTGAATACTTTTTCAGCGATTTGTCCTATGTATGATTTCCTACTGCGTCTTACTAAAATTAAAAAATAAGCAATGTATTGAAAGCGGAAGATAAGCAGAGCTAGAGGGTGATGCAATGTTTGCTAAAAATGGCTGTATGAGTTTATATGAAATATAAGGAGATTGAGCAATGCATTGCGATTACTGCGGAGGTCGAGTCAATTTGATTTAATGGCTTGTTAGCCGGAACTTCCTGAAGCGTAGTTAAAGACATGCGGCTTTTCAGAAGCAAGAAAAAATCTGAAGATGCCGGCGCAAATGATAAATATTGTAAATGACAAAAAAAAAAATAGTGGGATGATAAGCGTTAGGCTGATAAGCAGATCGGCTTTCATGGCGGCAGCCTGCTGCGAATGGCAGTGTATTGGCCAACACAATGTCTCCTTACCACTTACCAGCGGTCTGCTGCTGCGTCGACTTGGATTAGTACTGCGGGATGGTAATTACCCCGCTCAGTGACCAGCTGAATCATAAACGGCCAATTAGGCAATGCTGCAGGTGCCAATAATGCCTGCAGTGCCATTTGTGATGTGTCGAACATCCTAACACAAGCTCAATATCGGTGCATTAGTACTTGAAGAATGAAGGTGTATTGACCCTCGGCATCAATTTTTTATTTTGTGTTCTTTGCTCATTTTCTTCAGTTTCATATGTTTTCTGGTACATAAACGATAGTTTATTTTGTTTATTTTTCTTGCTTTCCTTGGACTTCTTGTTTTCCTGGTAAGTTAATGAGCGTCGGTTGGTCAGCTAAAGGTTAGCCGTGGATGAGCCGGCGACAATTATGCGTTTTACTTACGATGTTTCAATAACGTCTGGCACGGCTGTTAGAATTCAATTTTAATTTATTTTGCTTGGAATAAAGATAGTTCATTTAGACGTCCAGTGCTAATAAAGTGGCACTTTATTATAGCGATCATCATGGTGCAGTATCAAGTTGGTTCCTATCATGAAATATTGGGCTGTCCATCAAAACGTTATAGTTTGCTTATTTACTCAGATAAATATAATTATTGTTAGCCGCTAGACAGTTGTTGACAGATTGAGTGCTTCAGAAAACCATGGGGTGTCCCAGTGCAGCAAGCTAAATTTATTTGTTTAGGTACCCTTCGTGTGAATAGAGTAGGATCGTTCAAGAAGCCGCTTGCAATCTGAAAAAAGACTTACAATCCATATAAATTTGTTGATGAAGCGATTTATTCAAAGATATGTGTGAGGAAAGTGCTTTTTTCAGCTGACTCCCCGGAAATGTATCCAGAAACACGAATATTCCACTGCAAATAATGCCTCCTTTTGATCCGTTTTTGCCTGACCGGCTTGAAAATCATGAGTTGACAAACTCATAGAGGCACTTTGATTTCGGCTAATAATCTGCCGAGTATTTTCTGGCTTTGTCGACCCGGACTGAACACAACGGATTCGGAACCTAAATCCGGATCGGAACTGGAATGAATGAATGGCCAACGATCGCGTGCCATAGGCCGGCCTGCTGAATGGCGGCTCTGGCGTGCAGACGGATGCCATTAAGGCTGCTTTGCGTCATTCATAGTTTGCATTTGCATGCTTGATTGATGGAAACGTCCTGAAAAGTCATCAGCACGGTCATTCTTTGATGGCCAGTACCACCGACCAAACTACTCAACCGTCGTGCCATCTTTCCCAGTCATTCACCCAGCTCAGAGTCAGTGTGCCCACCTACATGCCGTGGCTTCGCCGTCTCTCGCCTACAGTCGCTCAGCAGCGCCTCGGGTGGTGAGCTCCCCAACTACTCTGACGAGAGCACCCGATCTGTTTCCAGAGGAGAGCCACAGTTTCCTGAATGACCGGCTGCATGCGGCGACCAACGTCTTGGACAAGCCCTCCATCGATTCGCTGGAGATTATCGGCATGGGCAGGAGTACCTTCACGGTGCAGAGTCCTTCGCCACGTACCGGAAACGACTGCGTCTCGGGAGTCAAGTGAGTGTCGATCGCGGTGGAATAAAGACGGGATTAGACTATTCTAACTACATAGAACAACACTTACATACTAGCCAGACCCGTGGTCCAAGGCTCACGCCGCACGACCAAAACGTGAGTAACATTTCAAACGTGAGTGACTATTGAATGGACCAAGAATGGACATTCATTCAAGTTAACACGAAAGAAGGGTGCATTGAAAAAAAAAAAACTTAACATTCACTTGACCTGGGAACACCATTACATATGCACTACAAAAAAAAAAGAAAAATACCAGCTAACTTGGTCACCCGTCGTCGTGCCCAACATTCCAATTCAGCATCTATGTATTCTTGGCCGCATCAATCAATATCTATCACCTCCTGAATCCGTCCCCGGTGTCGTAATCGAGACGTCATTGTGTGATGACTTAATTATGTACCACCAATATACTGTCCCGTTTTAGAAACGCTAGACACTTTATTGCCGATATTCTCCCGAAAACGCCGCTGTAAACACTAAAATAACACCAACCATGAGCCTTGCTATTCTATTTTATAAATCAGAGTTTAACGAAAACTGATTCAAGGGCGACGAGTCAGCAGTGATAAATCAAGACGGTATGTCCATTTCAATTATAATCACTGCGCCACGGACTGATAATACAAAGTGTCACGTTAAATCAGTCGCAGCTGCAGGCAGCGCTCGGTGGGCCGCGGTACTGGACATTCCGTGTCCGCAGCCGGGCGCAACATGTCCAGTTCCACTCTGGGACATTATCAGCGTGTGCTGACCGCTAGTCGGTGCAGTATTCAGGGTGCGGTACACTGCTGACCTTATAGGACAGGCCATGAATAGCCCAGCGCAGTGGTGTGTTAGTGCGGTCAAATCGGTACATGTGACCGACGGTCGGACTCAGGATGATAAAATATGACGTGTCATTTTGTCATCGTGTTGGTTTTGTTCATAATTGTTTCAAATGCTTAACCCTCGCCGGCCGAGGGGGGGGGGCGGGTGCCGCCCCCCCCCCCCCATAGGGTTTTTTCGCGATAGCTCCGAACACGCGATAGAGAGAGCTGGCGATAGAGAGCTGAAACTTGGCATACCTGACCTTTGATCCAAGCCGGATCTTTTGACACCAACCGCATTTTTGGGTCAGGTCAGGTCACTGACCTATGACGTCATAAGTGAACCTCTGCACGGTCTTCAGATGTCGCAACTTCGCAACGCCCTCACTGCCAGAGGAGATGTCACAGGGAAATGAAACTTGCAGGATCTAGTATCCATTATGAGTCCCACAACTTGTATATCTCGGATTTTTCCTAAAGGTCATATGAGGTCAGGTCATTTTCGTGACCTCACCATTATAAGTCAATGGGGAAAAATTCAAACTGCTATTCTGGCGCCGGGAACGATCTCCAACTATCTCAAGCACACAGAATCGTGATTTCATGCACTCCTTGCAAGGTTAGATGCGTCACTTTTGCAATGTTGACCTTGCGTGACGTCATTTATGACGTCATCAAGGTCATATTAGTTTTTCGTCAATAACTCTTGATCAAATTGAGCTAGCGAGTCGGGAAAGCCACCAATGGACTCAGGAAGACCTGCCGAATCGAATGATATGCGACATGACCTCTTTCGACCAACTTCGTGACCTGGGGGTGCTGACCTGACCTTGACCTGAGGTCAACACCCCAAGTTGACCTGACCCGGACAAAAAGTATATCATTCGACGCGCCTGAGCGAGACGAACACGATGCTGCCAAAATCGGCGCTCTGCGGCCGTTTTTTGCGAAGTTATTCACCAAAAACTGAACCGTACCTTGGGACACTTGACCTGACCTCAGAGGTCACCGGTTGACCTAGGACCTTAAAATCGGGTACCAATCTCTGCGTCTCGTAACGGCGCACACGCTCGTTTTTTCCGCGACGCGCTAGCTCCACCAGGGGCGAAACGGCGACGGGGGTCGTACCCGCCCCCCCCCCCCTCCCCCCCTCGGCCGGCGCGTATGTAGAAAACCAATAGGTCCGGCGAGGGTTAATAGCTGTACCCACCCTTACTTTTATGTGCAGCAATGCTTACTTCTTTAGCGTCTATGGCAGGACCAGACGTGCGACTATACTTAGACATTCCTCAAGGAGGTGGTCGTTTCAGATTTCACGCTCGACGAGCGTGCTACCTCAATGCAGATCCCATAATGCTCATGCTCCAGACACTTGCTGGAACTTTGAGTCCTGTTTAGTATGGGTTATAATTAGCTCGATTCTGAAAGGCCATCAGCTGACTGGCCGTCTGAGAGTCGGCGGTGTCCGATTCCCCTCTCCCTGGTCCCTCCCCCCTCTGATCGGCTCTCAAAGGGAGCGCGGCAGCCGTTCCGCTCTCGGCTTGTTGAATGCGTTCAGCCAAAATGCCGGCGTGTTTGACAGTTAGACACTCGCTGGATCGCTCCCGTGACAGCCGGCCAAAATAGACTGAAAAAGTTCCGCGGGCTGCTTCCATCGGCCCAAAACAGAATGAGGAAGACTTCGGAGAAAATGTGACCGAATTTGGCGAACGGGTTTTTCGCTGTTCGTCACTAGTGTCCCATCGATTGATAATTGATGGTAGCTCATTCATCCCTTTCATGCAGCTTTTGATCATTCTTATCCAAAATAGAACACACACACGCTTTTACGTCGGCTAACTTCAATTTAATGCTTGCATGCATTGTTGTTTCGTGAATCGTGATTCATCTCCCGCGTACATTCTGTTCACCGCAAACAGGAGAACCGTGGCCTTCTGAGCATCTACTATATTCGTGAGAGACTTAATCGAATACCGCGAAGTCCCTCGCAATCCATCTGCCATTGTGGAAGGACTCATTATCACCAACTGACAATGCCGAACAGTATCTCGATCCTGTTCGCTGGAGGAGGGGGAGGCGGCGACGACCCAGACAAGGATTCGGTCGATGCCCGCAGCGCCGCCGGCCTCCGCCGTCAAATTCCGACTACCCCAATCATGACGAATGGAGCCTGGACGGCCTAGCCGGACGTCGGCCCTCCTTTTTGTCGTCCTTCTTCGCCACCGCCCTCCGCTACCGCCCTGAACCGCCCGGCTGGACCGCCTAACATCGGCGCCTCGTCTCGATGACGGCGACGGCGGCGGCGGAGGACCGGGCGGCGGCGGGCGGTGGTATAGTCGGGAAAGTTACCGACGCCGTCGCCGCCACTCTGTCAGCCTCACTGGGGCATGTACTGCGGCTGGAGGTTCGCCGAACTGGACCCGGAGCTGAGTTGCCAGGATTCGGCGGCTGTTACACTCAACTCGTCCGGGCCCTCCCCGGCCCGCCGGGCGCGGAGCTGAGGCGCCGTGCATCGTGCGCTCGCTCCATCATTATATAAGGGTTCAGGGTAGCTGCTGCTTCGAGATCCCTCGTTTTTTGATAGCCGTCCTCGTTTTCTGGATGGTTTCTAGATTGGCGTGGTTCTAGAAAACCACTAGTTCTTAGGGCTGGTAGACGAATGGTTACATAGCAAGGTGTAAATAAAATCACCGATAGGCATTTTGTTGCGAGCTTGACTCGAAAGTGAAGGGTTGGGATGATTTTATTTTTGTCTTTGTTTTTCCTAGACCTTCTTTTGCTTCTTCAGAACTTAAACGTTCGAAGGAAAGGCAAAGAAAAGCTTTGTATATAAAAAAAACAGGGGTGGAGATCTGTCAAAATTCCAGGCCGGGCAGATGGAGGCGGGCTGGATGCAGTACCATTGACTTGCATAGCAGTAATTCGTTTTCAGGGGGTTCTGACCCCCCCCCCCCCCCGACTCCCCAAGATCTCCACCTCTGATAGAAAATGAAGTTACCAATAAATAACATTTTTATGCGAAACAAACCTGCGGACCTCAGGCTGTCGGCCTCTGTCGCTGGCGCAGGGCATATTTTAACATACTGACTGCGTCCCATTTTGGGACGCAGCCCCCTGCCTTTGGGACGTAGCCCTCGCGAAATTTGGACCACTGCGTCCCACACTGAAATGCCACGGTTTCAGCCGAAAAGTGCGAGCAAAAATAAGTAACATGCCTCGGTCGTTTACTGTGTAAAAGATGTTGGCTTTCCGATTGCTTTGTACCCTGATTTACTATGTGCCTAAGCACATACATGCCCTCTCCAGTCCTTGTGCCCTGCCCTACCCTTGGTCATACACCTTATTATGTTCTTCCCTACTATACCCCTAGGATATGTGCCCTGCCCAGTGCCCTGTCCTTAGGTCTTGTACCTTGCCCTGCCCTTTCTTCAGGCCCTGTGCCCTGCTCTGCATTCAGGCCCTGTGCCCCGCTCTGCCCTGCCCTCAAACACGATACTTTATATATTCTGCCTGGAAATTTGATGCGCTGCCTTCCCGTCTTTTGGCCCCGTGCCCTGCCCTACCCTAGTTTGGGGCCCCTGCCCTTCTCTGCCCTCAAGCCTTGTGACACGTCCTGCCATCAGACCCCGTGCCGCTGCCTTGTCTTCAGGTACTGTGCCCTGCCCTGCCATCAGGCCTTGTGCCTTCCCATGTCCTCATGCCCCGGCCCCGCGCCCATCCTCGAGCCTAATGCCTTGCCCTGCCTCAGGCCCTGTCCTGTCATGTTCTGCTTCCAGGCCTCATGTGCATTGCCCTGCCCTTAGACCCTGTGCCCTATTCTGCCACTAAGCCTTATGCGTTGTATCGCCCTCAGGCCCGTGCCCTGCCTCGCCCTAAGTTGCTGTGCTCTGCCCTGTCGTCAGGCCTTGTGCCGTCCCATGCCATCAGACCCTGTGTCCTACTCTGCCCTCAAGCCCTGTATTCTGCATTGCCCTAAGGTCTCGTGTCCCATGCCCGCTCTCAGGCGCTGTGCCCTGCCCTGTCATCAGGCCCTTTGGTGTCTCCCGCCCTCAGGTCCCGTGCCGTTTCCCGTCCTCATGCCCCGTGCCCTTACCTGTCCTCAGAACCCGTGCTTTGTTCTGCCTTCATGCCCTGAGCCTTGCCCTGCCCTCAGGCCCCATACCCTGGCCCTGTTTCACCGGTGATAGCAGCACTCTGTTATTACACGTGTCAAATTGGGTTTCCATGGAGACATCAACAGGCCCATTGCTCAAACACTACCACAAGTACCTATGACGTCAGCTCGCGGAATTTGATAGCAGCGTCCGTGAAACACCGCCCACGTCTTGTCATACCTTCGGGGCCCGAAGGTATGACAAGACGTGGGCGGTGTTTCGGGCCTTGTGCCATACCTGTGTAGTGTGTCTTATGTCTTGCTCTACCTTTAGGTACTATTTCTTGCCCTGCTCTAAGATCCTGCGTGTTGCCCTGCCATCAGGTGTGTTGATCATCAGGTGTTCTAAGGCCCTGTGTCTTGCACTACTCTCCGGCCTTGTGTAATGATAGCCTCAGACCCGCGCCTTGCCTTGCCCTCGGACCCTGCATCCTACCCAGCCCTCAAGTATCCGTCTTATCTTAGCTTCATGGCCTGTGCCTGCCCTGTCCTTAGGGCTCAGACTCTGTGTCCTGCCCTTCCCTAAAGTCCTGTTTAGAGATGTCAAGTTGGAGCCCGCAGGCCCGGAGTCTGGCCCAAAATCCGGCCCTACAGGGCTTTTGCATGCACAGTGGATTGTATCATTGTTTTGAGGTACCTCATCGAAACACATCGACTGATATGCGACTTGATCTATCTTGGTCACGAAATGACCTTAATGTGAGGTCAAGTTCTGACCTTGACATTTCGAGGTAAAAATGAGAGAAGAACGATCGTGCAAACGAAAATTCTCTACCTTTCTTTAGTTCAAAAGCTTTTCATGAAACCTATATTGACAAAAATTGTAATTTTACCCGTTTTTGGCTATGGAGCCTTAACCGTTGATCTGAACTCAATTCTGACGAAATATTGACGAAAGAGCTGTTCAAGATATATCGATTGCTTTTCTCCTATCGATTGCGCCCTCCTAGCTATCATAGTTTTTTTTAGATACCGGCACGTTTTCCGAAAAAAATATCGCATCATTGCGAAGTTTGACATTTGATGGCATACGGTCAGATCAGGGCCGTCATGGCCGTCTGGCCATAGGAGGATATAGAGGGGGCCACGGGGCCATGCTCCCCCCCCCCAAAGCGTCCGGAAATGGCACAAAATCGACACATTTCTGGGCATAATAATTAAACAAAGGAACTTCCATTGGGAAAAGCTTAGGTTAACTTACATGATAGGCAGTAAGGAAGCGAAATCCGAATAATCCAAAGCATCCGTTCATCCAAAGCATTAATCTATGATGGATTTTCTATGTAGCTTTAAAATCCGATGATTTCTTGTCACAACTTAGGTGGGTACTGTTTGACCTTACGTCATCTAATTATTTCAAACACATAGTAGGTATCTTCAATGCAAATTGGCAATGTTTCACACGTCAACCTCTATTTTGAATCGATTGATAAGGGTGAGAAACGCATGAGGAGACGTATGTATTACATTGTAACATTTTAATCATGTGCATATTCATTTTTATTCTCTAAGCATAGCTTCAATTTGGTGCGTCAAGGGAGGTCAAACAAGCCCAACGCCGTTCAGGAAAACGAATGACTAACAACAATGTAAATGTCATTAACCCTCGCCCGTATGGGGGGGGGGGGTCGAACGGACCCCCCATGGTTTTTCGCGAATAACTCGCGTAAAAAGCGGCCGATCGCGACGAAACTTTCAGTACCCTCGCGTTAATCAATTTTACACCTACTCTAAAAATTTCATGACCCTGACCCCAATGACCTTTGACCTGTGACCTACTTTTCGAGACCATGTTTTGCCGGAATCGCGATTCGGCGTATGTCGGCTCGCATTAGCCGCGCGTTTGCAGTCTTTTCGTGGTTTCAAGCGTTCAAACATGTGATATGATGCTGCCCCCATGCGTTAGGGTGTGTGTCAAGGTCACCTGAAGGTCAAGTCAGGTCATTGACCTTTGATGATCTCGGTTCACTTTTTCGAGTTTCACATGTTTCTAGGCCAGTTTTTGCAGCTGAATTCAAATTTAGCAACCATTTGAACATTTACGTAGTAGTTTTGGTGCCTTCGTAACATGTTACGTAGCTGTCAGAGGCGGTTGACACCTACTAGGAATACCCGGCAGGACCCCTACTGGTTGACCTGACCTGACCTGACCCGACCTGGACTAAATACATGAAGACATCATCTATGATCAAAACTAACATGATATTCGTGATCAGCACCCCGAAAAACCCCGTAGCAGCCACACTTTACGACGTTCTAACAGGTCCCGATTTTCCCGACTTTTGGGTCATTGACCTGACCTGCAAGGTCAACCAATGACCTAGGACCTTAAAATTAGGTATCATCGGCTTCTTCTCGTCACGGGCAGCACGCTCGTTTTTTCCGCGAAGCTCTAGCTCGATCAGGGGCGAAACGGCAAGGGGGGTCCAGCGGACCCCCCCCCCCTTATACGTTCGCGGCTGGAAAAAAAAAAACACCAATACGGGCGAGGGTTAAATCGCCGGTCCGCCCTTTGAATGCGGATAAAAAACGCACTACGACTGGGCGAATTTCGAGACTGGCCAAAAGCAATCACAGCCCGCTCCCAATATCCCGCTTGCAGTGCCCCTCCACCAGCACAGTACACAATGTAGGTATCTGTACATTATCTCACTTAAATTATATACTATTTCGCTTGCAATGTGCCCTTTCCGATCAAAGCGTGTGCCCTATGCCACCTTTGGGACGCAGTGAAAAATCCTTAAAATATGCCCTGCGCTGGCGCCACCCAATCGCGTCTCGTCGGCCTCTGGTGTCTCCAGGCGCTCTTGGCTGAGGTCAGAGGTCAGCATGCAGCAACTGACCACGCTGACCCCTGCTCCCGACTGTCGCGTGCCCGTCGTTGTCGCCGAGAAAGCGCAGCCGACTCTGCTGTCGTTGACATTTGACGGGTAGACGGGCCTGGCGGGACTATACGATGGGCAGTGGTCCGGAGACTGTTCTTATCTCCAGAAGCGATGGACTCGTGAGCACATTGCCAACGAGCTGTATGATTCAATATGCTTTACTGATGGATATAAGAGGTTTTGGTGCAGGTTTGGTGATACAGAGTGTGAAGAAACAGTCAGGAATAGGATTCAAGTAGATTTACAGATAACTCGTATTAACCTGATAAACATAACACACAAAATCTTTCTGCGAAACGACACCATGCGGCATCATCTATAAGTTCACCGAACATCACTGAGACTCTATAGAGGTCTGGTCCACCAGACCCCGTCAATGACCAGCATCTCCTTCTGTTTCAGACTGTACCCGAACGGCGCCACGTGGCACCCGGTGATGGGGCCGTTCGGCCGGCTCACCTGCGACCTGTGCCGCTGCTCGGCCGGCACCGTCGAGTGTAGCCACGTGCAGTGCCCCAAGCCGACCTGCGCGCGGCCGCAGGTTGTGCTCGGACAATGCTGCCCTCTCTGCCCCAACTCCAAAGGTAAGAGCTGCTGCCTTCCCTTTTCCTAACTCCAAAGGCAGTGCTGTTGCGATTTGCACCAACATTTCCGGGCCTTCAACCTTCAGTGCTGCTTTTCGCTCGTAAAGTTAGGATGGCAAAGATGAAAGAAAGTTGCCCTGGATATTATGCGATGAACTAGGTAGTCTCTTGGACCTTTGAACGCTTATTTCAAGCAATCTTCTTTATCAACTGACGGCCCCTAATGTGTGGAAATCTCGTGACTGAGGTCCTGTTTCACCCTGTGTTCGGCAGCCTCAGAACAGGCGGCGCCCTCTCGCCCCGACATGCCCCTGGTCAAGTGTATCCCGGCCCAGAGGGCGCTGCTCGTGTGGAAGTCGCACGGCGGTGCCAACATCTCACAGTTCATCCAGGTGAGCCGACAAACTTCAGATAGATAGAACCGAAAAAAAATGTTTGACGGTAGTCAGACTTGAACTTTGAATAAGATACAGGCACTCTTTTATGATAATCTAGGTAGACTATCCTACACTCAGTGTTTACTAATTCAGTTTTCAATTGTTACGATAATGTCTTCATTTTTATACGTAATCGATTTTTATTTGCTACGTTCACTCTACCAAAATGAAATAATTGTGATCAAGCTTGCTTAGGTGGTCACATCTTTTATGTCGTCTTTTTCCATGAACATGCATCTTTCATCTGTCACATCTTTCTTTTCATGCCATGATATCGTTCTGACCACCGTATCTGTTTCAGTACATTTTCGAGCGGCCCACCCGGTACGGTCTTTCTGAGAAGCACGAGTGGATGTTCAGCCGCGGCGAGAAGCAGACGTTCAGGATGCTGAGGATCGACGACAGCAGCGTCAGCGATCTCAAGGAGGTGGCCAGCTTCAAGATGCTCGGCACCACGAATCAGAGTGAGTGTGCCAGGTTGGGAGGGGAGACATGGTCGAGAGCGAGCGGTTAGAGCAAACCGGAATGTAGACGCTACTGTTATCACGTTTGGCGTGGATGAGAATGGGTGAATCGGGCTCAGCATCTGGTAGTTCACAAGGTGATGGTGGGGTTACATTGCGTGACAATTTTATTTTTGCTCATTGTTACTGTGCTACAGCAACGGACAATGTTGCTGCACACATAGAGATATTATTTCATCCATTATTACCGCATTACCTAATGAATAAGTAAACTTAAGTCGATAATTTCTTTTCGGGCCACCCTAGCTTTTTGATCGCCCGACCCATGCGATCCTAATGGTGGATTCATATATTTCCTCTCTCTCTCTCTCTCTCTCTCTCTCTCTCTCTCTCTCTCTCTCTCTCTCTCTCTCTCTCTCTCTCTCTCTCTCTCTCTCTCTCTCTCTCTCTCTCTCTCTCTCTCTCTCTCTCTCTAAACTGTGCTATCCTTATTTTCAGACCGTCTCCGCCGATTCTTCAACCGCGAGCAGGCCGTGTCCCGTAAGTGCAAGGCCCGCTGCGGTGAGCGCGTGCTGCGCTTGGAACGCACCCTCCGCCTGCGTCAGCCGAAACAACGGCGCGGCTGCCGGCCAAATGAGCGTCAGATCGACCTCTAAACGCTGCACTCAGCTAGTGTAGAGTTCAGGGATGTCGGCTGAGGCGCACAGTGGCTCAATCTGCCCCCACATCGGACCACAATCATCATTCGGACAGTCCTATCCTGGCACTGTGGCGACGCGGACTTTGGTGGAGTCGCCTACCACTCTGTCCGTCGGTCGGGCGATTTTGGTATATGTGCCACGGCGGGCACAATACGGGGTCGTCTGGGGCGGGTGGCCGGTCCGGGGGCCGCGCGGGGACGGGCCGCTGTTCCGTTTTGGCCGCGGTGTAGACTCGCTGGACCAGAGTGCGCTGACAGGGCTGGTCCCGTCGCTTGTACTGCCGAGCGCTGGCGCCGGCCGATTGTGATACTGACGCGCGGTCGGGGGCCGGTCATGTTGTGGTCATTGTCATGTTGTTTATTTTTTCACGAGTGCAGAGAGTGGAAACTGCTAAGTGCGGCGCGGTGCCGCAGGCCCGAGGGTGTTGACAGGTGCTGTGTAGTGCGTAGCCGGCTGAGTGAGAGTACTCGGCTGCATCCGACATAACGTGCTCGTGTGCGCTTATCCGTTAGCGAGCGCTCGTGTCGTGGCTTTTAAATACTCATGGAAGCTAGTCACTTATTCTGCGTTTTGTGTCTGGTTGAATCCGCGGCATGTGAGCTGGGCGGACGGCAGTATTTTATGCTCAGGTTAGTTTGGTTGGACTTACTAGGATTGGTGATGTTTGAATATGGCAGTGATTCAAACCCTTTGCGGCCTAGGGTCCAAACGCGCTGCATTGCACGACAAGTAAGCGCGTCATCATTAATTTCATCTTTTAATGACGCACTTCTTGTATTTTCTACCATGTCCCTGTACCATCTTCGGTGTTCTGTGTCGTTCGGCTTTATTTAGCTGCAGGAAGGTGAGGGCGCCAAGCTTATTTCCCCTATGATCTCACACTGTGTGCTAGTCGAAACAATGCTAGTTATTTAACTCTGAGATATCGACGGCGACATTCACGTGTGGCGAAGCAACCCATTGGTACATCATCACTCTCCGCAGAGAATCGTTAGCTTGTGACATCGCATCAGTGTGTGCATTGTGGTCGGAGAACGAAAGAGGGAGAGAGAGAGATATTGTTGTTACGTGTGTCCATGCTTCGTTAGTGGAATGGTTTTTGCCACGTCTTCATTTGCCCATTCCATTTGTTAGTCGTGTGTTACATCTTTTAGACGTAATCGAATCTCATAATGTGAATCTCGATGATCTCAGAAGTGGTTGACATACTCAGATTTGTGAAGTTTTCATGTTGTGCTGGATGGTTCCTTCTTGTGAAAATGAGCACTGTCAAACTGATCTTGACTTTCACCGATGCTGAGTTTAACACACGACTTGGTCAATATATGAGCTGACGATAGTGTTTAAACATGTGTCTTATTCGTCATTGGCTGAAAATGTTAACGTTTGAAAATTAACAATTGATGACATGCTGAAAAATCCATACAGTATAAAGCTTATCGTCAGCTCTTAACCCTGCGCATTCACTTGTCCCATGATGATTGTTCCTAAGATTGGGAGTTACATCTCGCACTGTACACTATAGTCCCAGTTATGACAGCTTATGGCTGGCCAAGTCCCACACTTTTGCACTTTGGTCCTCCGAAACTGCAGTGCTGTGGAACCTTGGCACTCGGACACTCTGGAACTCCGTGTATGTTCTCCGGCACTAGCGTAAGAGTGCCCAACGGCGACCAGGGCAAATCGACGAATCGTGTCCGTACATTGCAAGTGGATGTATGTGCACACTGCGCAATGCGCATTGATGTATGTCCCCGCGCACATTGTACATGGCATTGGCATGTTTCTCATTGCACATACATATATAAACGGCCTTGGGCGTCGGTAAATCTTAAAAGCTGGCGGCTGAAGACTGCTTTCACCGCGTGTTTGTACGTAAACGTTGAGGTGCTGAGAGAAAGGGTGGCATTGTCATTTGTCAGTGATGAAATGTTCATGTTATCCCGATGGGTGTACAGGATGGACTGTGTTGTGACCTATGAATAAAATAGAGCAGAACCAGCCAACAGAGCGCTTTCGTGTATATGTTACGGGTCATATGCTTACTTGGGCAGTATGCATACCGCCCGGGTAGTATGCATACTACCCGACCCCTTGGGCAGTATGCATACCGCCCGGGAAGTTTGCATACTGCCCGGGTAGTATGCATACTACCCACCTTTCAGCTCACGGGCAAGATGTTTACTCGGGCAATATGCTGACCGTGGCACGTGAGAGTAGTTAATGCAATAGCTCGCATATGCATGTCAATGACAGACGCTTTAACCCGCGCTGGGGCGGTGCTCGGCGCCAGCCGTGCCGGGCTGGGGGGGGGGGGGATTGAACTCTCCTGCTCGGCTCCTGTGCCACTTAGCGGCACAGGAGTAAGCGGCATGTAAGATGCGGTAACCGGCATTCGAAATAGCGTAAAAATCATGACGAAATTACTCTAGTCATTTTTTTTAGGTCAGAGGCCAATTTTACCAACATAAAATAAACGCCTGCTGCAAATTTTCGCCTCAAGACGGCTTCACATACGGAGCGTTAACGGTAAAGCCCTATCCGCTTATGTGCCCATCGCGTTTACGTTCCGTATGTGAAGCGGTCTTCAGGCAAAAAATTCCGGCAGACGGCTATTTTTCTGTTGGTAAAACTGGCCTCAGGTCAAAGAATAGGGCACCAGAGGTCATCAAAGGTTAAATTTCGCCTTGTTCATTTTTTATATAAAAAAAAATTGCCCATAAATCACTGTATTCGATAGCTCTTTTAGCGGTTTCTGGAATAAGCACTCAAAGTTGATCTAAGCTCAAAATTTAACCTGAGGTCAAGGTCACCAGTTTTACCAACAGAAAAATAGCCGCCTGCCGGAATTTTTTGTCCAAAGACCGCTTCACATACGGCGCGTAACCGCGATGGCCACGTAAGCGGATAGGGCTTTACCGTTAATGCTCATATGTGAAGCGGTCTTTAGACAAAAAATTCTAGCAGGCGGCTATTTTTCTGTTGGTAAAACCGGCCTATGACCTGGTAACTTGACCATAATAATTTGTGACGTCTTACATGTAAATGGTTTCATGCAACATTAGCTATTTAAACTATATTACCGCCCTCTACAGATCCAGGTGCCAACTGCCAAACCAAATCGAGTGATGACACTATAGATCTGTCGTCATTTCAGATGAAAATGACTTGTTGGCCGCTGGCTAATTTACAATAAAATTCTGGGAAAATAATTTCAAGTCTTTATATTCCAACCAGCTTACTCCACCCTTCAATCGATAAATCACGTTTGACGGCAAAAGACTTCGCGGTTGAGCTACGTTACTTAAATAGTCATTAATATTTTGAAAATGGACATGGAATACACAACTTCAATACAAGAAGCGGGCAGTATGCAAACTGCCCAAGCTTTTGGGCGGTATGCATACTGCGGGTAGTATGCATACTACCCGGGTGGTATGCATACTGCCCGGGCTGTTGGGTAGTTTGCATACTGCCCGGGTAGTTTGCATACTGCCCAAGTTAGCATATGGCCCGTAACATATACAACTTACATAACGCTTACATAACTTCAATAATTTTCGTAAGGCACTTTTTCTTCAGATACCTACCTAACCTTTTAACCCGCGCACCGACGGGGGGGGGCGGATATCCGCCCCCCCCCCCCCCCTGAAGTTTTTCGCGAATAGTGCGCTGCGAAATTTGGTATGACTATAACCTCATCGTGTGCAAGTTTGAACCTCCTACCTTTTAAGGTCAGGTCACCAGGTCACTTTGAATGACCAAACCTTAAGTCACTTTTTTGCAACTTTGTCACCGTGCCAGAGCTACAGTAGATGTCGGAGGCCTTTGAAAGTCGCAGGATATTATTAGGTCATTAGTAGCTACAATTTGTACATCTCGGAATTTTGATATCGGTGACCTAAGGTCAGGTCAATTTCGCGACCTCCCCATTATAAGTCAATGGGGGAAAAATCAACTCCCTGTTTTTACCACTAAAACGGGTCGGAATGGCCCCATATACCATACATGACTTTATATACGATCAACCTTCACTACCTTGAGGTCTGTTTTGCTGTTGGGCAGCTGTGAGGTCATGTGACGTCATCAAAGGTCACCAAAGGTTTTTGGCCAATAACTCCGTACAGGAACAAGATACAGACGCGTGGATGGTCTCATTGTGTTCAGCTCGTCAAGACGCATCGAATGATATACATGATGACCTCGAGGTCACGTGACCTGAGGTCAACCTTTGACCTTGACCTTTCGAGGTCAACATATATATCATTCGATGCGGATTGACGAGAGGATCACGATGATGCCCTTAGTTTGTTCCTATCTTGACTAATTCGAAAGTTATTCGAGAAAAATTATCTCCATATCTAGCGCCGCCATTTTGACTTTTTCGACCCCTGTGACGTCATCTTTGACCTAACCTGAAAATGACCTTCGTAAAAATTGTAGATCTTGGCCGTGCGTATCCGATGCCGTTTACCGCTTGTCGCTAGCTTGCTTCATTCTCGAGATCTCAGGGGGGGGCGGTCACCTGCCCCCCCCCCCCGTCGGTGCGAAGTTGGCGCAGACCCCCGTCGGTTCGCGGGTTAAGAAACCTTTCGCGTGCAGTGTGCATTCCTGCACCCTGTTGGGCACCCCGGGCACCCCGGACACCCCGGACACCCCGGACACCCCGGACACCCCGGACACCCCGGACACCCCGGACACCCCGGGCACCCCGGGCACCCCGGACCCTGCTATCCGTTGGGGAGGAGGGGGGATCCGGCTCCCTAAGATCTCTGAAAGTTAACGACTGATTTTCAAAGTTGCAACGGCGTTGGATAGCCCCACCGGAGAAGTACCAGTCGCCAAATTTCATTGACCTGGATGTAACTGATAATGTCACCAGTCAGGTCAAAGGTCGCTATTTTGACCGTTTACAGGCCTTCTAAGAAATCTTTTATTACATCGAGTGAAAGGCAGAATATCGAAAATAATTGATTGAGTATTGTTTGTCTAATACGCATTTTGCTAAATGATGTCGCTGATACCAGGTCAGGCCACAGAGGTCAGGTCGCTATGGGTCACATGAACCCAATTATACTATGGTCGCGTGATGCATGTTTATGGTCAATTTCACGTTTCAAATTCAATGATGTGGGCTAGACGACCATTTAGGGCAGTTAAGGTTACGTTCTGGTGAAGGTCAGGTCAAGGTCAGGTAAAAACGTTAACTTTCAATATTTATATTATATACTTTACATAAAAAAGGAATTTACATTTGATGCAGCTCGTCACGGGGAATAGGACGGCGGTCTTACTTTTACGCTGCGTGGTCTAGAACGAGTGATTGAGTTTCTAAGTTGAATCAAATTGAGTTTGAAATTTGACGTCATCACTTTGGGTTGTTTTTCGCCATGAGTTGGCTAAAACTAGAGTAATTTATATCCAATTTGGCATGTCGATGGACGAACTTATGTTCTATTACATTAACATATGTTCTGTTTTCTTAAAAAATTTTGGAAATGTTTGGTATTTATAAACATCATAAAAAAATTATTTGGCTTCAATCTTTTGAGGCCAGAATAATTTTTCTCTCAAAATTTCCAATATAAAAGTTTTGTTACCCTGTGAATTCTACCTACATCTTTTTTGTGCTACGAATTTTTAAATCTTCACAACTTAAGGCGTGTCAGCTCTTCCCGTAATACAGTTTTTTGTCGAAAATTGCGAAATATGATGTTACTCTGATGTCATTTGCGGCCGAACTACACTTTTTGCATTTGAATTCGACCATTCGCCATAACCGTTTGAGGAGCCATTTCGACAACCGGCATTGAGCACAACTATTCCGGCGTGGTGTGTTTCATTTCAGCCATTCAGCAAAACAGATAGAATACTGCAATGAGCGATCCGCAAAACAGTTTAACACTTCGCCAGAATTCGGCATTGAGCGAGCTAGCTCGGCATATGACGAATGGTTTCGACCATTGACGATTTGTTTTGCACAATGTTGAACCATTTGTTCAATGTCGAGTTATAGAGGAAGATCGCCGAATAGTTTTGCCCAATGGTGCTTGTTTGTGACCAACCGACCATTTGTAGCTCCACCTATATGGCGAGTGTGTACAAATGTTTTGCCCAATGGTCAAAAGCTAACGCAAAAAGGTGTATTAACCCTCGCCCGCACATGCCATTTTCCCATCCTAGAACGCACATGGGGGGGGGGGGTTGCCACCCCCCCCCCCGCGCCATTTCGTTCCTGTTGGAGATAGAGCTTAGCGGTAAAGACCAAAAAGATTCTTTGGGAAGAGACGAATCCAATGATACCCAGTTTTACCTTCTCAGGTCAGTCATGGACCTTCCAGGTCAGGTCAAACTAAAAAATGTTGCTGTTTTGGGTCACCGTTGGATATCAAGTGTGCTGCTTATCAAATACCGATGACGATGCTGTTTTCTGTTGCCAAGCCAGCTAGAACCTCTTTGTTACACTACCCGACCAGAATTTTGCTGCTGAGGTCATTTCAGGTCAAGTTAGGTCAAGGTCAATTATATGTGTTTGTATGTCTGTGTGTGTCTGTGTGTATACTGATGTGTGCACCGATTGTTTTTGGGTCCATATTACATGAAATCATGATCTGAGAAGCTTTTACCAAAAATGCAGTCAAAAAAACTTCAAAAAAGTAAATTCAGCTTGCCTAAAACGCAATTATCTTAGATGACCTAGGTTGACCTTGACCCTGACCTTGACCCCTGTACATCGTCGAACAACATGTTCCATGATAGGTGGGAGGTAAGACTGGCAAAAAAGGCCGAAGTCAGGGTGTCAAAAGCTCATAAGGCCCATGGCAAACGCAATATGTTGAGAATTGGCCATTTGGGTCATGACATGACCTGACAAACAAGGTCATATCTCCGAAACCAAAAATCACAGAAACTTGAAATTTTCAGTGCACATCAAGAAAGGATAGAGGAGCAGCTATACGAAAAATCAGCCTTCTAGCTCTAAAAATGTTGAGTGCAGAGCAGAAAG